ATATATATATATATATTCTCTTTAAGAACTTAGTGTGTATTTTAAGAATGTACCAAGCAGAATTTGATTGACAAAAGTTATGTGTTATAAAATAGAGGTTAGATATTGGATGTTATAATTGTAAAGGCATAAACTGAAGTTTAAATAAGATTTGAATGGACAAAAATTAAAAGATACAAAGGTGTCATCAGTACTCCAATCAGTAACTACAGGGGAAAACCTGTTTAATGAGAAAAGAAAATATGAAATTGAAACAGGACAGACAAAACTATGAACATAATGATTAGAAAGATACTGAAACTTAGAAAAAGATATATAATTGAATTTAGAAAGGAATGGTATAATTAAAAATAAGGTTGAGAAAACTAAGGGAAGGGAAAAAATCACTGAGAAAATGCTAGAATAGTAATAAGATATGGAATAGAATACAAAGATGAATATGAAATTGAGTTTGTGTCTGTATGGAGAAGTGATAACCTGGGATGATGCTATTCTCAAAAAAAAAGATATTTTATTTGTATCATGTTTTGTGAAAATCCAAATAAAAATTTTTACAAAAAAAAAAAAAAACATCCTAGGTACAGCGGGACTTCCAAAATTAGTAGGTCTGACTTTTCAGTCATTAAATGGGAGAAAAGAGTTGAAGTAGTCTGTGTTATTCTGATTCCATCTACTGTCTTTCCAGATTTCTGTAGTCCATGGCAGTTGCAGTCAGCATGGCCAATCAAAGCTTAACTCACCACTCCATCTACCATCTCAGGGTGCTCTCTACCATCTCATCTTATTACTATCTGTGTGGAGGAAATGAGCACAATGCTAAGCATCTATTACTCTTCAGTGCCTGGAAATGTGTTAGGCTTTAAAGGCTAATGAGATGAGAAGTGGAAGTTCAAGCTCTATTATAAGATCACATTAACAGAATCTGGCAATCTACTATTCCCCTGTCTTCCCTTTACACTCCAGAAAACCAGGGGTGGGGGGAAGCTTCCGAAACTCTTCCCACACCTTCCACCTTCTGTGAATGGAGGTATCTTTTATAAGTCAATTTCCCAGTGTGTGGCTCTTCTTTTGTCTCCCAAGTCAATCTCACCGGCCATTATAAAATGCCTTCTGAGATGTCAGCACGGCCCAGAAGCATTCCTGTAAGAGGTTATGCTTGGAGTTGATATTTTGCTTTCTTGCATGCAAAGTTTCCCGTTTATTTATTTTTAAAAAATAAAATGTTGAAAATACTATCAGGAATGGTGTCAGTCTTGGCAGGAATCCAGGAAAAAGGACAGAGGAATATTGGCAGTATGGAATCCTCTTTGGAGAAATCGATCCATATCTTTGCTGAATCCTTCTGCTCAGATAGTCGATTTAAACTGATCGGACATGCCTACCTTGTTTCTGCAGTTAAAGTGAGAACGTTATTCAAGTAGTCTCTCATCCAAGCAGAGACGCATAACACAGTGATGGACATCAACTGAAATAAAATAAGGATTTTCGTTTAGCACATGCAAGATAGAACAAGCTTAGTTATTTATTCAATGTTATAAGCAGCATTCTATTGCATTAAAAATTCTCTAAGCGGCAAAGCGCATGTGTAGCGTTCGTACTGGACTAACCCGAAGTTTTCACTCCAGTCCGTGTTTCTAGCGGGAACACGGACCGTTCCTATTGGCTGACGCCATTTGACAGCCGGCTATAAAAGGAGCTGTCAAACGGCATCAGCTGTTGCCGCCAGCTGGCTGCCTTGTTAGCACGGCAGCCGCGGCAATCCGTTATTGTGGCAATAAAGTTACAGTTGAAGTTCGCTCCGAGTTTTGCCTCAGGTTATTACCGCCGCTCTACAACAACATGTATCATTAAAGTACAGTCCTCTAAGTAGAACAAAAAAAAAATTTCAAGATTAAAGCCATGCATCTCATTCTCCTGCTTGTAGGCCATAATAAGCTAAGGGAATTCCTTTTTGGTAGAAGAAATGGACGACACCAGTAATGGATCTGTGTGGTCTCATGCCCTCTATCTACAATCCTACTTAATCTTTACACCCACCAGGTTTCTTGTCCACCTGATCTTTAACTTTAGATTCATTTAATCAAAAACAAGACTAACAGAAAACAGGCTTTCTGCAAAGAATCCAATTCCAGCATCACTTTTATTAAGGCTATGGGATAAACTGGATCTTAAAAGGTGGTAGATAAATGCAACAAAAAGGAGGCAGCAAAAAGAATGACGCGAAAAGGTTGCTGTAGAGAGAAGAAAGCTAGGTACGCTGCATAATTTTGGTTTTGCTTGCCACCCCACAAGGCAGGATGGCACAGCCAGGGGTGGGATTCAAAGAGCCCAGCAACTGGTTCGCTACCCGGTTGCTGGGTGGGCATGGCCATGGTCTACCGGAACTTCTCGTTTCCGGCTTCCAGTGGGCCTCCAGAGCCCGGGAGATGGCCGTTTTCACCCTTCCAAGGGTCCAGAGGCCTCCCCCGTGCCTCTGGGAGTGCAAAAGCAGCCTCTAGGCTCACTGAAGCCAGAAAGAGGCCTGTTTTGCCACTTCCGTTTTTTCCAGGAAGGCCATTTTCACCCTCCCAAGGGTCCAGAAGCCTCCCCTGGGCCTCTGGGAGTGTGAAAACAGCCTCCCCCACAGCCTCTGGAGGCACTCTGGAAGCTGGAAACACGCCTGTTTCCGGACTTCCAGAAGAACCATTTTTCTCCCTCCCAGAGCTTCCGCACAGACTCTGCACTTACCTCCATCGAAAATGGGCCGTGTGGATACTCCTGGGAGGAGAGGTGCAGGAGGGGAGGGGCCAACCGGTCATTTGAAATACCAGTTCAGCGAATCAGCTAGAACTTCAACATCCAGTTCACCCAAACCAGTCTGAACCGGTAGAATCCCACTCCATGACACTTATGGGGATAGAGATAGCCAGCTGCAGGGTTTCAGCCCCCTGTGGCCGTAAGTAAAGCTGCCAAAGCTTGATCCTGTGACAGGGGCTGCAATGGCGATAACTTTGGCCATGGATCATAAGTGCCTTCATTCATCCCTGTTGTAATTTTCAACGGTTGCTGAACAAATATTCATTAAGTCACAGACTACCTATATGAGTAATCTTTCTATTACTATATTAGCAATCTTTCCCATGCTGAGAAGGAAATATTCCTTTTCAAATCAGGAAGAATATAGACTGGGATCCACTGATAAGATCTCAATCATCTGGACGTATTAAGTCAATTTGCTTAACAATACAGTAACCTACCTTCCCTATTTAAATTAGGCTGTTTAGATCAAGATTCCATAGCTTGAGACAATCATAAGTGTGAGAGTTCCGTTCAGTTGCGCTATTTCAGACAGACTCTGGGGACACAGTAAGTTCTGAGAAAGACCGTTCTTCCTTCGTAATCTTTGCTACAGTTGAACTTGAGGTTCTAATATAAAACCGGAGTAAATCGAAGAGATCTATTCAGTCTATGCCTGGATCTATCTATCATTTCAGAAAATGACATTTTAATCAAAGTGATGGAATTAAACATTCCCAGATAAGGTAGTTTTCATCAGTTTAAACAATAGATGATTCTTAGTTTTTTATATGAAAAGAGCCATTTTTTTATAGGCATTATATAAATAATGATTTCTTTTTCTTAAGAAAAAGGAATGTAACAGAAACATTCCTATTGCTCAATGAACAATGCACAAGTTGAATTGCATGTCAGGATTCCGGCAGTTACTCCAATTAAATCATGAGTCTCAAGCGAAACTTCCAAAACTTCAAAAGGATTTATTGGGAATTAACATGTCCGGACCTGCCTGGGTGGAGCCGACTGTGAGACACATTGTCACCCTTGACCCTGGTTTTTCCCCACCCCCTGGGTGTATCATAATTCATATTCTCCAATGACATACATCCATAGAGTCATCAATCATGTTCTCCAGTTAGGATTGTGCACAGCAGAAGCTTCAGTCACCTATTTACTATCTTTGAAAACTATTTATGGAATGCACTTTCAATTTGCAAGCTGCTGCACTGCTCTTTCAAACCCCTTTCCTGCCTTCCTTTCTGTTGGCAACTCTCAAAAGACCATAGAAATATTTTATGAGTTGACATTTCACACAGAAAATATGTTTTAAAATCTCCCCAAATCTTTTTTGGGAATTTGGGGAAATAAGGAAGACTATTGTTTTTTTTTTCTTTAAGTTGCATATTATTAGGAAGTAGAAAGAAGAGAAGGAAGGGAGGAAAACCAAGGTAAATGTAGTATTAGACTGGGACAGGGAGAACTCAGAGGAAAATTTATCTTTAAAAAAAAGAATGTGAAGGAGATAATTCAAGTATCTTATGAGAATAATCTTCATTTAGCCATGTTATTTTCACAGAGTATTTTATTATTTACTTATTTATATAGCTGCCTATCTCAGAAAGCAAGTGACTCTGGGCGATGTGCAACAAAGCTAAAAAATGGTTTATAAACAAACACCAAATCAGTATTATAATTCTTATAAAATATTAAAAACTATAAAAAAATAAATAAAGGGATGTCAATAAAAATGGAGCCACCAAATCGACTCACCAGTCCGCCAGGGTTCCCTGACTGATAACACAATCAGCCTTAAGGTGATAAGTGATAAAGCAAGCCTCCCTTTAGGGGGAGGCCATCCCATAATGCCTAGAGTCTGCCAATGTAGCTCTCTACTGGATGTGGTGGGGTGGGCAGATGCAATCAAGCAGGAAGAATCCCTCAGATAACCCAGTCCCATGCCAAGGAGGTCAAAAGCAGCAGCATGAATTGGACCGGGAAACAGCCCAGTAACCAATGAAGCTTGAGGAAGAGAGGTATAATGTGTGTTCTGCAAGAAACGCTTATAAATACCTCCACAAAATATCCACATAACTAGAACTACCTTATATAAATGTTATAATCTGCTAGAGTTAGATGATCGTGAGATGGGCAGCATTTAAATTTAGTAAAATACATCTAATAAATATATAACAAATGCTTTTATGGGTTTATATATTTTATATTATGTATACATATTTTATATATTTTAATATTGTAACTATTTTATGATATTGTTTAATTAGGAACTAAGGAAACAGCCAATTCAGAAACATAGGAATTAGAGAAGGGGACATAGGAATTAAGACCACAGTGGCCTACCACGAAGCCACAGTCATTTCACTTAAGAGATTTTGTTAAAATTTGACAGTATCAGGATAGCTATGACTATTATGGCTCACCAGAAACACATTACTCTGGATAATACCCCCTCCCCCAAAGAAAAAAAAATCTGGTTATTACCCAGCAGAAGATGACATATTAACGGAAGCCATCTGGTATCTGGATTATATATTCAATATGCGCTTTTGGCTTTTGACTGCAAGGAAAAGGGGGAGTATCAGCCCACACAGCATCTGTGCTTCCAACATAATTTGTTCTTCTCAACACTTCCTCCTACTGAATTTTGAAGATTTCCAGATGAATGTCTTGTCTGCGTCTAAGGATTCCAATACTACATACTCTACAATCGCCCAGGAGTTTGGTAAATGTGTAAGATAAAACCTAATCGCCACATGCCACATCCTTATCAACATTAAATTAAAATTAGAGCAGGCATTTGTTACAATGAGAGCCTAAAACTCTTTGTAAAAAAAAAAATAGCCTTCATAACATTATGTCTTTTTCACGCAGGGATCTCTTTTCAAACAATGCCAATAAAACAGAACCACAACCCCTAGTCTCTCAAATACAGTACAAATTTATTCCATATGATATGACCTTCAGTCAAACTATACCAGAGATCTTGTGTAGTAAATTAGGTCACAAATTGTGGTACAGCATAAATTAGGGTCTTCGGGTTCTCTTCTATGCATAGAGGAACCTACTATTCACACAGTAGGGAATCCTCAATAACACCAGATGTTTCAATCATAGAAGAGTTTAGGGAATACTTGTTTAAGCTAAACTTCAGGATGATCATACCCCAGGACAAGTCAGATCAAACTGAAATTTAAGTTTTAGCTCAGATGGTCCTGATCCTGTAAGCATTCCAAAAAGTCCTGAAGACCAGGCTTTTCCTCCAGGTGTTGGTAAAATTACTGGTTGACCTCATCTTGGATGGGATTATGATTGAGTGATAATTTCCAGGATCCTTGGTTATAATAGCAATATTGCCCTGTTTATATAAAACACTGAGTCCTACAATACATTTTGGTGTTTTGTAAATCATCTACAAACACCAGGTTTAAATGGGTAGCTATATAGTTTTTAAAAAGAAATCAACTCAGATGGTGGTGGATTATATATGATGGAATGTTAGAGTTGCACCAGTTACAGATGGTCCTCACGTTACAACCATTTGTTTAACAATTGTTTCAGTTTATGACAGCTTTGAACAAGTGGTACTTACAACTGGTCCTCAAAGTTTCACTGTTGCAACATTCCCAGTCGTGTAATTGTCCTTTGTAACCTTCACTGTCGGTTTCTCACAAA